TTTTTTTTGGAAAGGGAAGCTTCCGTAAGAAAAAGGGCATTTTTTGGAAAAACAAAGTTAGGGGAGGGGGGGGGGGGTGAAAAATTAAAAAGGTTTTTATTGGGGGAAAAGGGGGGGGGGGGTGAAAAAAAAAAAAAAGTTTTTTTGGAAAATTAAAAAAAAGGGGAAAGGGTTTTTTAAAAAATTTTCCGGGGCCCCCCCCCCCCCAAATAATCCTTTTGGGGGGGCCGAAAAAGGGGGGGGGGGGGGGGGGAGGAAATTCCAACGTTTTTTTCCTTTGTGTGCCGGCGGTACGTTTATCCTCCACCCGAGTTTTCTCGCGGTATGATACAAGTAAAACCGATTGAACATATCATATGTACTGTACAGTACCTCGGTCACGGATTAACTTGGTATAGTACGGAGGAGTTGAAGGGGGGGGGGGATGTTATGCGTCCTTCAGCGCTTGGTGTAACGTCCCTTTTTTACTCCACAGTTTTGTAGGAGAATGGTAAACTTGCTGTTGTTGCAAGTATCATATAACATGACCGCTCGCTCGCTCCCTCGGCAGCCGGGTGCGTTTAACCTTTCTGTTTGATCTTTATTAAGGCCTAGGGGGGGGGAGAGTGGAGTGGGAAGTCAACGGGGATAATTGCTTGCTTGCTTGCTTGCTTGCTTTGCTTTGCCAGTCGGTTTATTTTTGAACCCCCCAGATATTATCATACTGTAAAGGGTTAAAATAAAATAAAAAGTCTAGACTAGCGGCCAAGGTCGGTTACGACGCAACCTTTGGATATGATACCATAAACGATCACTCGCTACCAGACATTATCATACCTCTTCTCTCCTTTCTCCCTATTTCCGTCCGGAACCGAGGTGTTCACCATCAACCGCTACTTGTACAGTACTGTACTCGTCGTACTTGTACTAGTACTCGTACAAGTACGTGTACCTCCTGCGCCGCATGCGAGCTTCTCAAAAAGCAAATACATCTATGCTTTCCCCTCCCCCTAAAATTTTAAATAAAACCCCGTAATAATAATAATTACTTGCCCGTCGATGATACCTGCGTAACGCGTCGGGCTTTTTTGGGGGAATTGGTTTCTCGCTCCACCCCCCCTACCGGTGCAGCGCATGTTAACTTGCTATGCAGTACTTTGTACTGTACAGTACGAGTATATATCGGTACAGTACGAGTAAATCCCTGGGTGAGAGGGGACGTGCGCGAATGGGCGATTAATTACCATGGTACCCGTAAGACGAGACGAAAGAGTGACAGGATCTCATATCGTAAGACTTTACTTAGGCGAGCTTCTTTTTTTTTTTTTCTCTTTTCGTCAGGGTGATTATTATTATTATTATTATTATTATTATTATTATTATTATTATTATTTTTAATTTATTATTATTTTTGTGAGCCAACCGAGTGATGGATCGTGTGGGGTCTGGGGATTTGCGTTTGTATGGTGTTGTGGTGGAAAAAGGGAGGGAAAGAAAGGGAGAAGAAGAAGGAGGCTGACTGTGCTGTCCTTTTGGCGCATTTCGCAAATGCCAATTGGTGACGATGGGTACAAGTAAGTTAGTTAGTTAGAAGGGAGTGGCTCAGGTCGGCATGTCCGAGACTCCTTTGTTTTTTTTGTTTTTTTTCTTCCTCCGCAATGGTAGCCTCGCCTTTTCTTGTGCAATGGTTGCAAGCGAAGGAGGGAGGGAGGAGTTTGTTTCTTCATGTGTGGTTCGTGTACAGTACTGTACGCACGTATCATAAAAAAAAGTTTTAACAGGCGCAAGCTCAGGTCGGTCGGTCGGTCCTCGCCGGTGGGGCGGTGGTTAGGACTGTGTGTTGAATTGTGTGGGGTGAAAGGTTTAAAGATTATTGGTGTTATGGTCTCAATAATATGGTTATTGGAGGCTGAAGAGGTTGTCGCCCACTTTACTCATGATGCCTGCATACACCATTCGACGACGGGACGAGCTTGGCCTGCATATATACACTTTGTGCTACGGGGTACAACGATATGCTACAGTATGCGGGAGAGGGGAGGGGGGGGGGGTTTGTTTGCCCGTTGCGGTTGTGCGTTCCTTTCGTTAAAGTTTTGGTTTTTGCTGTGGGTATGATATGATATGATATGATGGGTCGCAGCCTCCTTCAGCTGGTTTGTCTTTTTTTCCTCCTCCTTTCCGCAGATGCTCTCCTTGCTCGTGAAATAGGGCAATCGAGTGATACGTGATGATAATTGGGGTTCTCCAATCCTTCACTTATTCGTCCCATGCGCTGCCGTGACATCGGTACTCCACTATACTCGGTTTTTGGCTTATTTTGGGGAAAGTGCCCGGCAGCTGGAAAAACACGATTAGACGTCTCACATCTTTCTTTCTTTCTTTCCCCCCCCCCCGCCAATCAATTTCCACATGTGGGAGTGAGTGACTGCCGCGGTTGAGCGTGGGAATATGGTATGGTACCGTACGAGAGGGTTACTCCGGCAGAGTGGGGAGTACAAGTACCGTACAACGGGGGCAGCGGTCCGCGGCGCTGCCGTGAAGAGAGGGATATATAGAGAGGAAAGATAGGGCGAGCGTGCGTGTCTATCTACAGGTATTTGTTTACACGTTTGATGATCATCAGCTGGCCTTCGGCCATCCATCTGTCTGCTAGTATGGATATTTCCGGGGACTGGTTGATGCATAGCCAAAAAAATTCCCTTCATTTGGCTGCCGGTCTCCTCGCCCCGGGACCAGCGCATTATGTATGCTGTGGCAAGTGATAATTGGTGTCTTTGTAGCTTCTTTTCTCGGAGTTATAACTCCTCCTTATGCGATTGGAGGGTGGGCTAAAGTACAGGGAGGGGGGGGGGTCCTAGTCGTGGGTGTGGGGTTGTATGGATGGGGCTTATGCGGTTTGTATCAGATTGGCTTATTTGGTAGCTGATATATTCGGTGTGTGACTTACGGTTCTTGCTTCTATCAATACATGTGTTCCGTTCGGGCCTCGGCGATGCTGGTAAGTGTGCGAACCAGCTCGCACAGGTTTATTATCAATGGATCGTGGATGTGGTAGTCAGGTATGATACAGCGTAAGAATTTAGAGATTGGCCCCAAATTGGCTGTAGGAAGTCTATGCTCCATTCGGCGCGCTAGGACTAGAGGGTAATTTGGACTTTTTAAATTGGGGTCCGGGTTTAAAATCAAAAGTCTGAAAAAAAAAAAAAAAAAAAAAACTTCAAAAGGTGAGGACTTTTGGATTTTGGGAGTGCCAAATACGCACTGTATTTTGGGTGCTGATGTCTGTTTAATCTTTGAGGGGGTGTGTGTCGGATTAAAGTCTAGATGTGTGATATATTATTGATGTGCCCCTTAGAACGGCCGGGGAAGTTGGAATGGAGAATATCGGGTCGAGGTAAGGGCGAACCAATGAAAAATGGCGGTTAGGAAAGGATTTGGGTGGAGGGCATCAGGCGGGTCAGGGGCAAAGTAATAATAATATTATTATTATCATAGAGAATATGTAAAAATTTTGGCATTGCTATCACCTGGTTTAAGATTAATTAATTCTTCACTAATGGTATTCTACAGATTGGTAAGGGAGACGACTAACCTGTCGACTTGAGCATCTCGAGTTCCTTAGATTAATTCTATTATGATACGGCAAAATATATTACTGTCATTACTACTTATGTGTCCACTTCGGCTGCCGTTAGGTGGTGCTGATTATATGATACAGATTTATTTATTTCCGAGAAAGCAATTTTTGCTGCCTGCAACGTTGATGTTAAGCATATCAACAATAAGGTTCCCATTTATTATATACATGATTAGCTACTATGAACATATACCTCAGTGCTAACTCTGTACGAGTAATAGGAGCCGGGTTAGTGCGGGTAGTGCGGGGTACTGTACAGTACAGCGCACAGCCGGGATCAAAGGCAGGATAGCGGAAGGCTAAAGTGAAGACGAATGCACAAGTTGAGGACAAGAGTAACGAACAAGAATTAATATAGCAGCAATACGGAAAGGTCAGGTTCGGGTCCGCCAAATATAAACCCATGCACAATTGTCTGTTCTAATTGCCGGTGAAGGCAATACAATCTCTGAACGACGCTTCGGGATTGGGTTTATTTTCATGACCCTTAGAGTATCATACCACCTCACCCCACGGCATGGATTCGCTCCCCGTTCAGCACTCAGACAGTTGGCGTCGTG